CGCCCCCAGGGCATATCTCCCAGTGGTAAAGGGGAGGGCGGATAGGGCTCAGCGCGGCAGTGTGCAGAGTTCGATTCCCCGCAAGGTGGAATTGGCTCTGTTGCAAGCAGGAGTTGGCCTATCCATGTGCTCTCCACCCTGGCTCCTGGGAGGCACATCCTGCGATTTACCTCCTCCACGATGGCCCAGGGCAGGGTCGGTGGGGGCCCCTAACCAAGGCTGTTAACCCATATGGTAACTCCCGCTTGCAACAGAGCCAATTCCACCTTGCGGGGAATCGAACTCTGCACACTGCCGCGCTGAGCCCTATCCGCCCTCCCCTTTGCCACTGGGAGATATGCCCTGGGGACAGCTATAGTGTATAGTATTTCATATTTGGAAGGACACCACTCACAAGTGCAACTTCGATATCTTTGCATTAATTTCACATCTGTTGTGCAAGCAGCCAACACAAAATTTAATGGAACCCACTTGGCCATATGGTGAAGATGACATCCATCAAGGCCAAATCAATTGTCAATTTAAGATTCTGGCTATCGATGGCCCACAAACCTCCACACCATGTGTGAGATCTTCAAAAGGAAAGAAAACTCATTCATGGAGAGAAAGGTAGTCTGTCGCACTGCACAAATATGAGAAATTATTAGTCTTTCACACTTTTATTATTCGTGCAGGATCTATGAACATGTTGGGTATGTCCAATTGAGCAAGAATGGATAGGAGTAAAGACGAGACATGTGATAAAATTTGTCAATTGTATTGCCGAGTACTCTCACATCCTAGTATTGACAACCGTGGCAAAAAAGAAAAAGAAAAATCTATTTGCTGAAGCTCCATAATGATTTTTTCGCCAAAAGGGCAGTACTAAATAAACCAAACATATATAGCCTGATTAAAGAATTAATATATTGCGAATAAGAACGGTACTTCTAGCTAGACCTTGGTAGTTCACGATTACTAAAAATTAAATTATACATGCTAGAAATTTTCTATTTAAGCAGGATTACTTTATTAGAATGAAATTGTCTATATAGTTTATACATTTCAAATTTAGAGGATGGTGACTTAGATATCCACCGACATAGCACTCATTCAAAATCAAATTCGTCTTCTTACGAGCTGTAGGCAAAATTGTTAGTTTTATACAGATTTCAAGACGAGTTATGTCGTTACTGTACTCAAAATTCGAAATTCATATGGCGTGTGGTCGATTTTAACCAAATCGCTTCATGTGATACAAGAAAGAAGGATCCTTATCATTTACTTAGTTCGAGAATTGTATTGATGCAAGTTAATTTTTATGAAGTTGCCTTGCATTTCATAAAACAACTAATGGTAGAAAAAATAACCCGAAATTTCAATTATGTTAGTCAAAATAAGTCACGACTTACTTTTAAACACGACTAAATATGCGTCCGGTCAAGTAAGGATTAGATAAATAATTACTTATGCAAAGATCATACTATTGAAAGCAATTTATGCATCATCTTCTTGGTCTTAGAGAACCACCCTTACAAGAAGACTTGACGAAGAAGCCCTTTTGGCTTTACTTGCAATGCTATGCACATTAACCGCTGCGCATATTTGAGTAAAAAAAAAAAAACACACACACACATGTCAATGATAACAACAGAGCCTTGTTCAACAATTTTTAGACTTCTTTACCCACCACAGATAAAAAAGGCCTAATTGGGGCAATTACTTACTTGGGAGAAAAGGGATATGACTTGAGTGGGAAAAAAAAAAAAGAGGGTAGGGCATAATTAGTATTATTTAATCTAATATCAATATATTAATGGGGACGGACGAATTTTACCCCTAACCCATTGAGACATAGTGGCTATGCACATCTAGAAAATGTAAGTTTGGGCATGACCTATTAGCAAGACCAGCTATTCATGTTTTTTAATTTTTTGTTACTTTCATAAACGATGAATAAGATCAACGACCTTTCTCTTTGACATTTCTAATCGTTTAAATACTATTACGAGAGAACGAGAATTTACATTGTCTCAAGACTAACGTGCCAAGGAACAGTTTGAGGTATATTCTATAAGGTGTGGATCTTTGAATGGTAATAGAGGGGTGCAAAGATTTTCTCGAACCCCAAAAAATGGCTCTCGACTGTCGAGGAGGAAAGGTGAAAGCCAAGCTTGTCTACAAGGAGGAAATTTGTGTTTTGATAATGACATTGCACCAAGAGAAAATGTATTCATTGCTATATGTTGTCTGCAAGATTAGTAAATGAATGCATATAAAAACAATATGGGATTTTCAAATTGTCTAAATTAAGAAACCTACATTTTGAATTCTTAGACCCTTAAAACTTTCCTTCCAAACTTCACCTACTGTGAATCAAATTCCTCTTCTTCTAATGGGGTGGCTTCACTCCATCTTTTGCCCATTGAAGAAATTCTGGCGCCGGATTCGTGCTACCAAAAGCAACCGTACCCATTCTCATCTTCTTGATTCTCTGTTTACATGTTTAAACTTTTAATTGCTTATGTTCGTTCTTTTTCATAATTGGTTTCTTTTTTATCTTTTAAGCACGTGTTTGGTACGGTACTAGAGGCGTAAAATGTTCCCACCAAGCCCTTCTATATGGATCTAGTTGATACTTGTTCAGTTGTGTTCACTCCAACGTGCCAATAATATTACAGTCTCGATCATTTCTATTCGAATTGATCACCATAATTACTTCATAATTTTTTTTGTTTTTGTTTATAGGTGGGGGAATATACATACTCTATGAAGATGTGAAGTCGTGTTCTTGTGAAGATGTGCACGCTTTATGGACGCTGCTGGTTGATTCAGATGCAAATTTTACATAAATTTAATGAAACATCATGATAAATATGGGCACCGACAAAATGCCAATAATAAATAAGGAGAATTAAAATGTTTTCTTCCCCTTTTATATTTTCTTTCTAAGTGGGGTTTTTTTTTTTTTTTGGTAAATTTCTTGAAATACATATTTATACGGTAGTATTTTTATAAATCAGTTTTTGCCAATGATGATCTGCTGTTTATATTATTGTAATAATCTCCGATCAATGAAGTTATGTTAATGTACAAACATTGTTATAATTAAGATGGTATAAAAAGAATTTTTCAATCTCACGGTTAAAGAAAAAAAGAAACATCTCAAACCTATTAATTATTTCATTGGGTTACGACCACTTTTACGTGTTGACACACTTGACTGACTCACTGGGGCCCATGGCCCACTCATGTCAAACCACGTGGTAGCCCGGCTGAGGCTCCCTGGCCAACAGAAGTCAACCAGCATACAAAAAGAACACCCATGACGTTGCCCAAATACTGACGCCAAGGTGGTTTGTCTTGTCGAGGCCCATCATTTCAAGGCCCAAACGCCTTAAGCAGCACTCTCTCCAGAGATCCGATCTTACATAAGGATTTTTCCTGATTGATTGATGGGACACCCAACAGAGTGCAAGCATCTTGTCATGTCAAAGTAGCCGGGACTCCGCAGATTAATAAATGTGTAGCAGGTTACGAAGTCAAGTGTGATGTCTATAATTTGACATGTAAACTTATGAGATGAGGCCACTTATATAACTTGTAATACTATAAATACTTCTCCATACATCTCTCAAAAGGATAATGCAAGATTCAATACAAGAACCAAGATTACACATTCTTTACTATCTTAATAATTTATTCAGCAACCTTTTTACCATCTTACAATCCAATACAATACGAATTTATTTGCGCATTCTACAAATATCGATTAGTAATTATTGTACAATTGTTATGCAGACATCACGTTTGATTCTGAACGTTCTTGTCCCGTGCTGTTGAGCCACTCCCACACCCTTGATTTGTCCATTTGAGATCGTCAACGTGTCTTAGCGGGTTGGACTGGGCTTACGTGCGCGCGGGTGGGTCCGATATCTGTTGGCAACATTTTTGGGGCTAACAACCACTTTGATGTATTAAGTATGTCGCTACATACCAAAAAGTT